TTCATAAGCGGGATAGGCAAGATAGAGGGGGTATTGCTCATACCCGAAATACCCCACAATATCTTAGCAGCGCTTAAACTCAGCAAGGACATGGGTATAGAGACCACCTTCAAAGAGCCTTGGTAGTACAGTGGTCTAAGGCACCCTGTTATTAAGCTGGTTATTAAGATCAGCTGCCTGTAATTACTGCAGGTTAGAATCTCGCCAAGGCTCAAGGTTGACTCAGCCTTCCATCCTTTCTAAGGTAGGTAAATTGAGGACCCAGTTGTGGGGGCAATAAGCTGACTTTGTATAAAATATACAAAAGGATGAAGGCTATTGCTGAGCACATTGTAAGCCGCCCTGAGTCTCCGAAGAAGGGCAGCATATAAATCAAAAAAAAAAAAAAAAGAGGGAAAAGCCTACATGACCAAGGACAGGGAAAGCATCAGCAAAATAGTCATTGATGGAGGGCTAACATACCTCCATCCTAAGAGAAATAGCCAGACCCAAGTAATCGCTCAACTAGAAAACACAGAGAATAAAGTCAATGCACAAGTCGAGATAGAGGGGGACAGGGAAGATGACCCCACCGAAAACAGCACAACACACAAAGGGAAATTGTTAATCGGCAAACCCATTCACGATGACTGTGCTCACTTGCTACATAGAAAGTTGGGCCATGCCAGCTTCCCAGTCATCCAAAAAATGACAGAATGTACCAGTGACTTGAAAATAAAAAAATTGTAAAAACTACTTAGAGTGCTCCGTATGTAAATCATCTAAGCTAAAGACCAAACCCAGACCTAGGAAGGCCACCCGCACCACCAACTCTATCTTTCACCTGGTACACATGGACATTGTGGGCCCATGAAGCCCTCTATAAAATACAAAAAGAAGTATTTTCTGACAATAGTAGATGACTACAGCCGCTATGGCTTTGTGTACACCATTAACCATAAGAGCGAGGTATTTCAAAAATTTAAGGAATTTTACAAGAGAGTGGAGACGCAACACAATACAAAAATAAGGCAAATAATGACGGATAGGGGGTCTGAGTTCCTATCAAGGGACTTCTCGAACTGGTTAAAGATGCACGGGATAATACACTACACAACTTCTCCTTTTTCCGCGTTCCAGAACGGAGTCGTAGAAAAAAGAAATGGAGTCCTACAAACAATGATGAGATGCTCTCTAGAGGATGCAGGGTTGTGACAGCCATTCTGGGCAGAAGCACTCGCCTACTCAAATTATACGCTGAACAGGCTCTGGTCTACTGTAATACAGAAAACACCTTACGAGGTGATATACAACCGAAAGCCAAAAATTACACACTTGCACATATTTGGAGTCACGGCGGATGTGCATATCCCCAGACAGCTGAGGCGAAAAGGGGACAAGGTCTCAAAGAGATTAAGATTCATGGGGTATGAACCAGGCACAAAAGGATACAGATTCATAGACAGGGACAACAGGTTCATCATATCCAGAACCGCGGTGTTCCACGAGAACACCAACTGGTCAAAGATACATCTCAACGAAACACTCATCAGACAGGAAGACACAGACAAATTAAGGGATGAGAGCATACCCACCACATTAGAAACAGATACACAAGAAAGGCAAAAACCGAGACACCATGAGATAGCTACCAAAGGGTGGAAGGAAGACCATCCCATCATTAAGGTAGATGCAGTCACAGAGAAAGAAGCCAAATACATGCACGACACCGACACACGACCCAACAGGCCCATAAGGCACAACAGAAATAGAGTGCCAAAGAGATTTGAAGATTATGTCATGTCCATACACCCAAATAGAACGACCCCTAACTCATATGAGGAAATTATTAGTCTGCCACAAGAAGAGAGAGATAGGTGGGAACAAGCTATGGAAAGAAGATGGCTAGCCTAAGGGAACTAAACGTGTACACCCCTTCTAAGGTCCCACCCGATAAAACACTCATAGGTACAAAATGGGTTTTCAAAATTAAGGAACTCGAAGACAACAAGACCCTCTACAAGGCTAGGCTCGTAGCTCAGGGGTTCGCTCAGAGGTATCCAGACGACTACACGGATACCTATTCACCTACAGTTAGGGCAGAAAGGGTCAAAAGCGCCCTAGTAATAGCATCCGTCTTAGGCCTAGAAGTCTATCAATTCGACATTCAAACCACATACCTCCATGCGAAGTTCATGCAAAGAAATATATGTCAGGGCACCCCCAGGGAAAGGCACGAAAGAGGGAGACACCTAGTTACTAAACAAAAGTTTGTATGGGTTAAGGCAGTCGGGAAAAAGATGGTATGAGTGCCTAGCCAAAACACTCAGGGACATGGGTTTCACCGCCACCTCAGCGGACCTCTGCCTCTTCGTCAAGAGGGAGGGCACATCAGTCGAGTACGCACTCATTTACGTAGACGACATCCTATACTTAGGACAGCACAAGCGAAAATGCGATGAATTCGCCAAAGAACTGGGGAAACACTTTACACTCAAGACCCTAGGGAGAGTCAACAAATATCTAGGGGTGCAAATCGAGAAAACAGAATGGGTTCAGGGTATCACAAAAGGAAAAAATATTAGAACTTATACACAGATGTAACATGAAGGATGCTAAGCCATGTGAGACACCCATGCAAACAGACTTCCTAAAACACATGCACGAAGAGGGGGAGTCATTTAAGGACAACACTCTGTATAGATCCGTCATTGGATCCCTCCTATACATTGCCAATTGGACAAGGCCTGATATCAGCTTAGCAGTTAACCTGTTATCCAGACACGTCAGTGGAACCCAAAATATACCACTGGGAAGGGGTAAAACGAATAATTAAGTACCTGAAACATAGCATAGACGCATACCTATGTCTGGAACCATCCAAGTCCAAAGAACCTGTGCTGACCTGCTATGCGGACGCTGATTGGGCAGGTGACATCAAGAGCAGAAAAAGCACCTCTGGTTAAATGTTTTTCATCAATAATTGCCCGGTACATTGGTACACCGGTAAACAGAACCTGGTTGCCACATCCACAGCGGAAGCAGAGTATATCTGCCTGTCAAAAGCAGCTAACAATTTAGTGTGGTTTGATGACCTGCTTTCTGAAATATGGACTGAACCAATTTATCCAATAACAATCCACGAGGACAATAAAGCAGCTATAGACATTTCCAACGCAGACACAGTAGGTCAAAGATCCAGACACATCGACATCAAGCACAAGCACGTTAGGCAGTTATCGAACGCAGGTTTCATCAGAGCCGTACATTGTGAAACTTCGGAACAAGTCGCAGACATTCTGACAAAACCATTACCAAGCAAACAACATACATATCTGACATCAAAATTAGGAGTGGCTATGCCTTGTACAGAATCAACTCCAAACATTAGGCATTTAGAGGGGGATTTGTTATGAGTAAATGCCTAACTATGTATATATCAATGCATGGACTGACCCCTCCTCCCTCATCTAGCCCTTCCCATGATCCCTCCTTACCTTGACTCCGCCTTCGCCATACATAAGGCCATGCACAGGGATCCACCAGCTCTGTTCCAGATGTGCACCTGAAAGAAAAGGAAATGTGTAAATAAATAAGTTTGAAATAAAGACAAAACGTGTCTGTGGTTATTGGGCAAGATCCTTGGAAAATAATTCACATAATCTGTTGCAAAAAGATAAAAGAGTAGGCTAGATTACCCACTCTCCATAATTTTGTAATGCATTATATCAATATTCCTACCTTGAATCATAGTGACGAGAGATCTTTAGTAAAAGTATTTACTGTGATTAAAACCTTAAGCAAATGTCTTTGCTTGTTACTGATCTATACTGGATTTTGTATATTTAGACAGTTTTGGGAAAAATGATAATTTACTAATTTAAATTTGTTGAACAAACAAGGACCAACACATGTGCTCATTTACTAAAAAAATTTGAATCTTGCCCAATAATATAATATCTACGGTAGTTTGTTTTGGACCAGAGACAGATAAGCTAATCGTCCAGGCCTGGTTTATTCCAGTAGCTGATTGCAAAGTAAAGACCAAAGTGGTCCCAGTGGTGGTAGGAGCACTTGGAGCTGTGATTCCTTAGCCGTTGTGGCTTAATATATTAACATAATCAAATCAAATCATGTTTCTTATCTTAGAAGGTGATCTGTTACATTTTATCCAATTTATGTTTCACTTTTCACTTTTATATTCTTTAAAATACAAGCCATTCTACACTGAAAAAATAATATAGTCTTGGTATCCAATGTGACTATTTTCTCTGTTTGACTATTAAAGTCTCATGGACATAGCAATTTCAATGCCATTCTTATTTGATTATTACTCTGATGAAAATATAAATTGGCTGATTAATTGGCTGTAGAAAAGTGCCCCATGTTGCTGTGATCATTATAAAGTGTAGCTTACAATGAATAACTGGAAATGAGTGTCACAATAAATGCATGAAATATTTATTAAGAGTTATGAATGTAAATAAGAGGCATAAGTAACAGTCACTTGTAGATATATAAACTCTATTAGGCTTAAATAGAATGCTCTCATCGCTTAGAAAGCTGTTTATTATGATGGACATAATGTAAATTTTATTTGGATTTCATATTGCATGACTGAATTCATCAACAATGTGCTCAAAATACTGGATTTTTGGAAGTATTTTCCAAGCAAAGTTTTTACAAAAACATGGTGTATTTTAGGGAAGCTGATAAGTGTTTTAACCGTAAAGTAAGAAAATAAAAAGCAATGTAAGGAGGATGAAAAATGAAATGCTCCAGAAATGAAATGTCCCTGTCTTTACCGAAACAATCATATTTTAAAAGAAACTGAGAGCTTTAATAATGTTAATGTAAATAACGTTAAGAGCCTTAACGTTAGAGAGAATCCACATGCCAGGATTTGGAAGAGATTTGCAGAGACACTGCTCTCCAAGAGAGAAGGGTCATTAAATGCAAGATGCTGCTGTGTCTCATTGTGTGTTTGCACTAAGGTATAGGTTTGCCAGACTGACGTATCAGAGAAAGTCAGAGTGGTTACCACATCAGCATAATAGCTACATAATAAATGATGGAGAGAATCATGTTAGGCATGATTCTAGATTCTAGACCTAACCTAACTTGAATCATACAAAAGGAGAGAATTCAAATAGATTTCTAGCTCCCAGCAGCCAGCAGCAATAGGATGCTTTCAGGAAGATGACAGATGCAAAGGAAAGATGCTGTTTTGCACTATCTAGATTTGTTACTGCAGCCAAATTATTGGCATGATGGAATGACGAGAATAGCAGCTGGCATGGAAGGTAGGGTGATCAAAGGTTTTGCATTGATATTTATGTCATTAGAAATTGACTGTGACAAAGCATACCTTTAAATGAATCTTTTCTATTGATGATGGCAGAGGATTTGTTTTTCAGCTTTGAAACTCTGACGATACTGTTGCCTCCGAAAAATAGATTTGTGAATTGCATGTATGCTTCTGTTATGTCCTTGTGCTTGTATCTTATCTCAGGGAGCCACTTGACTGAAAGGGATTATTAAAGAAAGGCAAGGCTATACAATCAAAGTGCTTCTAATTCGGGGGAAGTCCAGATAAAGGGAAACAAACAATGAAATCTTCCATAGGGTTTAAACTGCTTAAGCTTGAGAAAAAATACTGTATATTGAACATTCTGAAATAGCTAATATTATCACAGTTTCTGTTTTTACTTTGCTTCTTCCTTTTTTTATAGTTTTAAGATGTAGTCATTTGCAAATTACTACAAGAAGGAAATGCACTGAGATCTTCTGCACGATCTTTCAACAAGTCTAGCATCTGTTTCAGTTACTGAACTGTATTCATGTTTTGACAACTTCATGTCATTTTTTGCTTGATTACAGTTCTTATTTTCAATATATCAGTTTGCTTTATATATAATTTTGAAAACTGCCTTTAACTAATGACAGGAAAGGTGACACTATTTGAAATGAGATCATGGTTTTTGGATATTCTGTTTATAGTTCTTACCTTCATGTTTCACTATATAATATTTTATTTATTTGTTGGCTTGATCTGTAAATAGAAAAAAAGTAAACTGAAGTTTCAGGTGACTTTCTTGAAAAAGTTTGAGGTTATGTTAAAGAACAGCATTCCAGGATTTTGAATGATTCCTTTATGCTCAATCATCACCATATAATTGATACGTTCTTGTTGACTCATAATGATTATCACAAATTTGGAAGATTTACCAACAAAGTTCCTTGTTTATGAGAATCTTGTATTTTTTAAATAATTTTTTTAAATAATTTTTTCTTTAACATCCATAAGTGCTTAGTGAACAATGTATTGTCTGGGTCAATGTACTTTATACACAATACTAATAACAATAATAATACTGTTTAGGTATACATAATAGTAATCTTTCAACTTCTAACATTTACATACAGTATACATGGTAATTATAATATATTCTATTATGTATCAGTATATATAATACTATTTTCCCAATTTCTACTTTCTACCTCTATTCTCTAATCCTTAATGAAGCAATTGACATATTAAGAACTAATCTATAGCTATCCATCATCTCTTGCCCTTTTTAATATTTCAACTTTTGACTTTTGATAAATCTTTTGATAAAACTCTTGACTTTTTGATAAATCTTCCATACTCCTCCCTTGGGATCTTGTATCTCCTTACATCCCTCATATTTAATCTAAGTATTTCATCTGCCTCAACATCTATCTCTTGCTGTTGAGTCTCTAAAGCATCCATCAGTAACTCTTTCATCACTTCTAGGATCTTTCTCTTTATCCTCTTCTATATTTTGACCTCTTAAAGAGTAATCTATCTGTTGCATTTTAGGAATTTTTACTGTCCCTTCTGTATCTTTATCTGCTTGTGACATTTGTTGATTTATTTCCTCTATTCTTTCCTCAGCTCCTTCCAATTTCTCCTCTACTTTCTGGACTTTCTGGATTTTTTGTTCATTTTTCATTGTCATTTGCTGAGAGTTTTCTAGTTTCACATCTATATCATGCATCAGTATCATCATCTCCCTATGACTTCTTGTGATAATTTCTTGAATACATTGAAGTATCAGTAGTGTTTTTTTTTTAAATGTATTTGTTTTTTCCTGTTGAAACATTTTGCATTAATTTAATGACCTAAAAATTACTCAATAATCAATCAAAATCCCAATGTCCCAATTGTCCAAAAACACCAAAAAAGCCAATATTAGTCAAATTTGCTCAATCCCGGAACTGTTACTCAAAATTCACAATTTTTACAGTCCTCAAAGTTTTCCAATTTGTTCCCTCTAAATCAGGGGTCCTCAAACTTTTTAAACAGGGGGCAAATTCACGGTCCCTCAAATTGTTGGGGACGGATTGGCTGGGAGGATGTGGCTAGGTGGTCATGTGACTAGGTGGGCGTGGCTAGATCATGTGACTGGGTGGGCCAATTTAACAGTCCATTGAACAATGCACACAAATTAAACTTTAATTTGTTTTGCTCCTGGGGGTGTTTATTTGCTTTTGTTTGCATGTTGCTCTTTTGGTTGCCTTTTCTTTTTACTAGATTGTTTTTTCAGTTGTTTAGGAGTCTAGTGGTCCACTTCAGGAAACTCAGTTTTGCTGCAATTCTTCTCAGCCCCAAGGAGCTTGAGAAATCTCTTTCTGTCTCTCTCTATCTCTTTGTCTCTCTCTCTTTCCTTCTCTCTCTCTTTCCCTCTCTTTTTCTTTTTTTTCTCTCTCTCTTTTTCTCTCTCCTCTCTCTCTCTTTCTCCCTCCCTCTGTCTCTCTCTCTCTATTTCTTTGTCTCTCTCCCTCTCTCTCCCTTTCTCTCCCTTTTTCTCTCTGTCTGTCTCTCGCTCTCTCCCTTTCTCTCTCTCCTTCTCTCTCGCTTTCTTTTTCTTTCTCTCCCCTTCTCTCTCCCTCTCTCTCTCCCCCTCTTTCTCTCTTTCATTCTTTCTCTCCCTCTCTCTTTCTGTCTCTCTGTCTGTCTGTCTCTTTCTTTGTCTCTCTCCCTCTCCCCTCTCTCTCTCCCACCTCTTTCTCTCTCTTTCATTCTCTTTCTCTCTCTCTGTCTCTGACTCTCTCCCTTTCTCTCTCCTTCTCTCCCTCTCTTTCTCTCTCTTTCTTTGTCTCTCTCCCTCCCTCTCTCTCTCTTTCTGTCTCTCTCTCTTTCTGTCTCTCTATCTCTCTATCTTGTGGAGGTGGTGAAGATGAAAAATGGGCCATTTTTGCTGGTTTTTTGCCCCCCCCCCCCCAAGCATTCTGCAGGCTAAAACCAGGCAAAAATGGCTCATTTTTTGGCCAAGAACGGGCCATTTTTGCCTGTTTTTTGCCTCTTCTAACGCCTCCCCCCCCTAAGCATTCAGCAGGCTAAAACCAGGCAAAAATGGCTCATTGTTTGTCCAAAAAACTCCCCCTCTCCACAAGCATTCTGCAAAATAAAAGCAGGCAAAAATGGCTCTTTTGGGACAAAATGGGCCATTTTTGCCTGTTTTTTTGCCTCCTTTCACTCCCCCACACCTCCACAAGCATTCTGCAAACTAAAACCAGGCAAAAATGGCTCGTTTTCTGGCCAAAAACGGGCCATTTTTGCCTGGTTTTTTTTTTTTTTTTTTGCCTCCTTTCACTCCCCCCCCTCCCCCCCACATCCACAAGCATTCTGCAGGCTAAAACCAGGCAAAAATGGCTCGGTTTTTGCCCCAAAACAGGCCATTTTTGCCTGGGGTTTTTTTTTTTTTTTGCCTCCTTTCACTCCCCCCCCCTCCACATCCACAAGCATTCTGCAGGCTAAAACCAGGCAAAAATGGCTCGTTTTCTGGCCAAAAACAGGCCATTTTTGCCTGTTTTTTTGCCTCTTCTAACCCACCCACCCCCCACCTCCACAAGCATTCTGCAGGCTAAAATTGTTGAGCTTACCTTTTGGTTCCAGCCTGCAGGTCTCCCGAAGGCAAGTCCTGCACTCTGCTGAAGGGTGGGGTTGGGTGATGTGGGCGGGGCAACCTCATGGTGCTCTGCGGGCCGCATGCAGCCTGCGGGCCGTAGTTTGAGGACCCATGCTCTAAATTATCAAAATTTGTAAATCTTGCTAATTTTTCTTTTTTCACCTTGTAGAATGTTCTATCAGATACTATTGATAATCCAGAATTGCCTACCAAAGTTTCCAAAATCTCATTAAACTATAGAGTTAAGTGTTTAGTTTCAAGGGTAATTCTTGTTAATTATAGTCCACATTGCCTTAAAAATCTTTAATTTATGAGAATCTTATTGTGCAGATTAGAAAGTAAACTGCTATTTGTGAACCTTATATTTTATCAATAATTATTGAAATTATTCAGATAGTCACAAGGATGTAAATATATTACATAACAATGATGATTTTAAGTTAAATGTAATATTTGATCTTTCTGCAGCTTCAATTAAGCATTGTGTGAAGAATGTTCATGTTAACAGGGTTGAAGGATTAAACTTTTATATGACAAGCTGCATGTTAATAAACATGTCCTCAGTTTGGATGAAAGAAGAAACTAATTTGCAATTCTAAATGAGACCTAAACTAATAAAACAAATCTAACTTTTGATGGTTTAAGCATGTCTACTCTGAAAGTACAAATAAAAACTATAAAGCATGGATAATTGCTTTGAAAATTGCTGAATTATGGGAAAGTACTATGGAATTGGGGCATAACTTTTATTTTAAACTCTTTGTTATGAGTTTTTAAATGTAATGAGTTGTAATGAGTTGTAATGAGTTTCTGGTTTATATTATTATGAACTACCCAGCATAAATGTAGTAAAAGTAATGAAATAAATAAATGAATTTTATGCCAAAAATGACTGACACAAGACTGACGCCAATGACTGTGTTAATCTCAATGTATTTCAAATGTTCATTATGTTCATTCATGACTATCTAAAAGCTCAGTTGTATATAAACTTATTTTAAAAGTTCATTTTTGTATGGATGAAGCCAGGTCCAGTTTGTATGAGATGGTCTTTTACCTTGTTTAAGTTGATAAAATTACAGACTTATGATTTTCCTTTCATTATTTCTGTCTAATTGGGAATAGATCTTGTAAATTTTGCTAATAGATTTATATAGGTGAATATTAAACTACATTGAAGTGACAGTAGGGGGAGCTGGCAGTTGATACATATAGAGAGAAAGACAGGGAGAGAGAGAAGATAGCATCAAAGGCTTGGGCTCAGCTGTTTAAGGTAGAAGTGAACTTCTATAGCAATAATGGTAATAATTTTTCAAAAAATTTGTTAAGTTCTTAAATGCTGATGCTCTTGCAGTCATATGAAATCG